GGCCGGGCGCGCCCCGCAGCGACGGGGCTCAGCCAGCCAGACAAACTGGACGGCCTCGGAATTGGCACCCTCTCCCAGGCAAGCGATCGCTTCGAGTTCATCCCTCGCTGGCGCCCGCAGCTGCGCGCCAGCTGGCTCGGGCGCGATAGGCGAGGGGGGCTCGGGGGGGAGCGGGGTCGCGCGTGCTAGTCGCTCGCGGCCTAGTGCGTCGAATCAGACGCGCAGCTCCCCCTCCAGCCGCCCAGGCGGGTCGCCGCAGGGGGCCCCGCCGCGTCGCGACCAGCTCACACTTCGTCGTCTTCTCGTCGCGGCACTTCTCGTCTCCTCGACGGCAGGGGCCGCGTCGTCGGGCGGCCGGCGCGTGGGGCGCCCCTTTGTTGTCGCCGCCCATGTCGAGCTTGATCGGGGCCTCGATCATCGCCGGCGCCCGACGCGCCGCGGGGCCCCCCGCTGCAATCGGCCCCTGCTCTGTTCGGCGCCCCAATGTCGCAGTCGATCGAGATGGCCCTTTTCGTTCTCAAGCTCCGCCGCCAAGGCCGTCGCCAGCGGGCCGTCGCGTTGCGCGGTGGGCGCGTCGAGGGTGGCCGCGCTCAGGGCTCGCATCCTCTGGGCGCTCATCGGCGTCATCTAGGGGTCGCGTTCAGCAGCTCGTTTGGGGTCTTGTCGCGGCTGGCCCATTCTTTCTTGGCGCGCAGGCCACGCTGTCGGCGGCCCCCTCGTCGCGTCTCGCGACGCCGCCCCCCCGCGCGCCCCCTCTCCACCTCGTCGGAAGCGATCGCGTCCGCCTCGACCCTCGTCATTGGGAGCTGGCGCGCCCGTCGGCGCCTTGCGTTCGGCTCGCGGTCTGTCTGCGGCAGCGGCGCTCCAAGACGTCTGGGGGGCGCCTGCGGGGTGGCGCCAGCGGGCTCTCGACGTCGCCTGCCGCGCTGTCGCCGCGGGCGACGCCTTCGCGCCAGGCAGGTCGAAGTGGGGCAGGCGGCGGCGCAGGCGCAGTAGCAACTGGGGCACCCAGCGCTCTGGGCGACGCCGCGGCTGCACTTGCCGACGGCGTCGCTGTCGGACGCGGCCTGGCACTCGAAAGTGGCGGCCTCGAAAGCCACTGGGGGGTTGGAAGTGGCGCGCTTCGCGCTGCTCTAACATGGCGTCGAAATCACGCGCGCCCCCCGGCGCCCGCGCTGCCCCGCGCTTCTCGGAGAAATGTTTTGACGCGCGCGCGGGCACCTGCGGCCTCGATGGAGCGGCGTGAACGCGTGCAGGAATGGGCCCGGGCCCGGACAGAGGCGGCGGAATTCTCGGGGATCGTGATCGATGGTGCGACATGCAAGCTTGTCACCGGGCCGAGGCGACGCCGGCGCCTGCGACGCGCTGCCCGACGTCGCGGGCAACCCGAGCGCTGGCGGCGTATGCGAGAGCGCTCTGCTCCCCCACATTCCGGCGGTGGCCCGCCACGTGGATGCACGTGCCGGGCGCGTTGACCAGGTTGTCTTCGTCGACCCCCCTTCGTGCGCGGGGCTCTTCGCATCTACACGGCTGATGCATGCGCGCGTGAGATCGTCGATGAAGGTGCCCATGGAGACTGGCTGCTCGGCGGTCGCGATGGGGCACTCGGCGGCGAGGTCGTCGTCGGCGAGCTCGGCGTTCCCCAGCCAAACCTCGGCTCCACTGGAGATTCGTTCGCCCGCGATAACACGAGTAATCCGGGGGGGGGGGGGGGGGGGGGGCGACCGATAACCTAGACTTCGCGCTGTGGGCAACCCAGCGCATGCCCGCGCGCACTGGCACTGCGGCCCCTACAGCTGCTAACGATGCTGCCGCAATGCTACGTCTGGTGCTGAGATGATGCGGGCGCCGTCTGAGAATGCCTAAGGATGTCTGGACAGCTCTTACTGGAATACGCGGGATGCGATTGCTAAGCGTATCCGCGAAGTCTTGTGTACACTGTCTATTGAACACGAGTGCGCCACACTGCCTGTGAACACTACGAAAAATGCGTGATCCAGGATTGCAGCGTCGATTCTGATTCGTCCACACGCGAACCGCGATGTATCCGAGGTCCCCCACCGCTACGTCGAGGCTGGAATGCGCGGCACCGCAGTGGACGGTGCCGAACAAGAAGATATCCTCCACGGGGGTGGCCAGTAGCATGACAATGGCGTCGCCCTCCAAAGACGCGCTGGTAGGGCGAGACGAGGCGCCCGCGCGACCCCTCGCGAATGGTTTGGCGAGCGCCGTGAGAAGCGTTCGCCTGTGAGGTCGCACGGACGCTTCGGATGGGCAGCTGCGCCTCTTGGTGGCAGCGCGGGCGCCTGCGCGGATGCGTGCGAGATAGCCGGCTTGAGCGAGGTCGCACGCCCCCCAAGCTTCGCGAAATTGATCGTCGGCCGACGCGCACCACCAATGGTCGCACCTGTGTCGATATGACTTCAGCTGCTCGCTTGCGAGTCGTAGTGCATCGCGACGAAGGCCGAGGACAACTCCGCGGCCCCGGACACGTAGTTGGAGTAGACGGGCGCATTCAGCCGTAGCTTCGACGGCCCAAGCTGGCGCACTACCTTCCCTATTAAAGAACTGGGCTGCTGTATGTTTGATGAAACACCCCACAACTGCTGCAAGACGCTTTGGGCAGGCGTCTGCGAGGTGCGTGCGTCGACCGCGGTGGAGTTCACGTTGGGCGTAAAAACCTTCGAGGAAAACGAGCTGTTGATGTCCCGCGGTAGGTCCCCAATCCCATGTGTGTTGCGAACGATCACGGTAGTATTGGTCGACCGCTGAGGTGCGAACTTCCACCATCATGAAGACTTGGCCAACGACGTGCAGCGTGCGGTGACGCTTTGAGGCGCCCCAGGTCATAGCCAGGTTGGCGACGACAAACTTGTGGTTGGTCGGGGCAAGAAGTAGCCGATGCGACTATGCGAGCCTTTGTTGCCAAAGTTGCTGGGGCCCTAGCTTCCAATATCTGTTGATCGCGATCAGCTCATTGTTGACCATGTATGCGTACATGTGGCGAACAACATCGCCTTCGGGACCAGGATACAATGAGCCGATGTTGGCGTCCACGAGCTCGTCGTTACCTGTCGGTCCAAAACGCAAGTTCCGATCGGTGAACATGACCGGCACCGTCCGCTCGTCCGCTCTGGCGGAACATTGAGCTGATGTAGGATCCATGTCTATAGCTGTCGGCACGTCTTTTTGCACAGCTGGCGTTCCCGAGCGAAGTGTGGCCGAGGGCGGAAAAAAGGCCACGATGTACCTAGCACGAGATCTAGACCACCAGCCCGTCCCAGTCGAATATGGGGGGCCGCCGCCGACTTAGTTTTCTCGAAAACCCGATACTACAACTGGCACTCGCATTCGTACCTGCTGCCCGAATCCAGCCGAAGTGGATCCAACGGTGAGCGTGTGCGCGTTCTCTGTGATGTGTGGGTTCCTGCTCGTCTGTGAACCCTGGCGCCTGGGGCGAAAATTGCGTCCGTGTTGCGGAATCCCGCAACGACCGCCTCCACGCGACCCCTATGGTTCTCCAAGCTGAACGGGTTCCAGCCGGCGAGAATGGCGCGGCGCATCTGTTCGGCGACGCTGGCGTTCGGTACCTCCGTGGATTTCGCCATGCCATATAGCAGCGCGAAAAGCACACGCGGCCGTACCGCTATGGGGTTGTGCTATGTCCCGACGAGATACAGCTACAGTCGGGACGTTGACCTAAGGAACCTAAATAAGGAGAGAGGCCCCTATTTACCATAAGTTCAACTTCGATTTCGTGTCGAAGCCCTAAGGAAAATCTAAGGCAAACTGCGAAACATTTAAGGAACACGCAGCCCCTCCCCAACGAAAAGAGTTCCTTCTTCAGGGCCCCGACTGTACCGCCATGGGGTTCTGCCATTTCCTGACGCGATGCAGCTGGACGGAGACGGGCAGAAAGAGGGGCGGCGACCACCGCGCCTGGGCGGCTCTGAGCACTCCGTGGCCTCGAGGGAGACGACGACGACGACGACGACGACGACGACGACGACGACGACGACGACGACGACACGACTACGACTACGACGACGACGACGACGACGACGACGACGACGACGACGACGACGACGACGACGACGGCTTCTGAGCGGACGCGTGCTCTCTGAGAAGACGCGTGCTCTCTGAGAAGGCCGCCCCGTTCGCCCAGTCCCCGCTCCCTCGCTCAGAGCCCGCTCAGAACTGACCCCGGGCCCTGGCCTTGGACCCATCCTGGATGCTTTTGCGAGGTGCGCACGATCATGGTCACCGAGCGCTCCCCTGGGGCGCAGACAGAGCCCTGGAAACTTCCAGACAACTTCAGTCGGAGGACTTTCTACATGCCCACCGCTTCGGGAACCTATCCTCTGGGGCCTCGGGGCGCGGTGGACATTGACACGCTCGGGCGCACCAAGGCACCCAAAACCATCCATGCCCACCGCTTTCTGGCGCCCCGGGAAGATGTCCCCGAAGCGGTGGTTGCGCAGAGGCTCCGGCCCCGGCGCGCGATGAACGAACGATTTGTGGTCGTCCGGCTTCTGGGTCGTCGGCGGCCTTTCGGAACGATCCAGGCAGCTCCGTACGCACCTCGGCGAGGCGCAGCTGCTGGAATCGGAAGGCCTCGCGAGGCTGGAAAGCCACCGACAACTCGAGGAAACGCTCTGGAACATCCCGCCTCGAAACCTCTCCTCCTCCTCCTCCTCCTCCTCCTCCTCCTCCTCCGCCTCCTCCTCCGCCTCCTCCTCCTCCCCCCCTCCTCCGCCTCCTCCTCCTCCCCCTCCCCCCCAATCCTCCTCCTCCTCCTCCTCCTCCTCCTCCTCCTCCTCCTCCTCCTCCCTCCTCCTCCTCCTCCTCCTCTCCTCCCCCTCCTCTCCTCCTCCTCCCTCCTCCCTCCTCCTCCTCCTCTCCTCCTCCCCCCCTCCTCCCCCTCCTCCCCCTCCTCCTCCTCCTCCCCCTCCTCCCCCTCCTCCCCCCCCACCCGCCCACCCGCGCCCCCCCCGGCCCGCCGTCGCAGCCACCCACGGCGCGGTCGGTCCGCCGAGCCGCTCCGGCGTGATGCCGACGGTGGCGGGCACCACGACGCCCTGCCGGGGGGCGGGCGGGCCGAGAGGGGCCGCCGCTAGACAGAGGAGGAGGAGGAGGAGGAGGAGGAGGAGGAGGAGGAGGACGAGGAGGGAGGAGGAGGAGGTGGTGGTGGCATGCTATAAGAGATGGGGGCCATCCAGCATGACATACTACTCTAAACGCAGCAGCGGAGCGAGAGGGCAGGAACTCAGGCAAGGACGACGACAAAGTAAACCTCGTTCGAGAAGATATCACATACGCTAGCACGATTCTTGGAGTCTCCCAATCTCCATAAATATACTCCTCCTCGGTTCTGCTCTGTGGCGGCTGTAGATGAAGAACAAAACGCCTCTCAAATGCAACCTCGGTTCTGCTATGTGAAGCTGGAGGTGAGGAACAAAACGCCTCTCAAATGCAACCACGGTTCTGCTCTGTGCGGCTGTAGATGAGGAACAAAACGCCTATCAAATGCGACCTCGGTTCTGCGCTGTGAAGCTGTAGGTGAGGAACAAAACGCCTCTCAAATGCAACCTCGGTTCTGCACTGTGAAGCTGTAGGTGAGGAACAAAACGCCTCTCAAATGCAACCTCGGTTCTGCTCTGTGAAGCTGTAGGTGAGGAACAAAACGCCTCTCAAATGCAACCTCGGTTCTGGTTAGCGAAGCTGTAGGTGAGGAACAAAACGCCTCTAAAATGCAACCTCGGTTCTGCTCGGTGAAGCTGTAGGTAAGCCTCAAACACTAGCGCGATCTTTAGATTCCCCCAGCCGCCAAAGGATGTACTCCTCCTCATACGCCTTCCACGCATATCTATCTAGAGCCAATTCCATCCAGTGAATACCTCGAGGATAATAGAATCTAGTCAATTGATATTCCCAGACACACTGCCACGAAAACTTCTGAAAACCTTGTTTTTCACCTTCTCTCTGTTCAGTTACAGCGTGTTGGTGAGAATTCCAGTTCAGAACATAACCCAGAATAGAATCAGGATTCTGTTGAGCCTTACGTGCGATATGGCCAGCATACCTATGAAGACGACGCCATACTATTACATCTAGGTCCTGGATGTGCTCAGCAATCTTGATTTTTTTTATCTGCGACCTGACCGACCGAGAATACGATTCATCAGTTTCTCCTGGTAGACGAGGCCAGCGCATGTGACGAGCAAATTGTTTTGTCTGAGCCGCTCGCAAAGCCACTGCCGCGCGTCGGCATATATTCCAGACTGGTGAACACCATAAGCACGAATATGATACCGTACGGTGAATCAAGCGAAATCTAGATATACGAGTGCTTGACGGACTGGAAAGTAAGTGCTGAACAGATCCCACCACTGATGTAGCCGTGAGCGTTTTAGTGCGAAAATTTTGATCCAGTTGTCCACGAGCGTTCATCCATATGCCAGTGATCTTCATCGCCTTATCATGCGGGATAATCTCAACAGCAGGCCATATCTTGGACCAAGGATGTTTTTCCTTGGTACTGTTCACCAAGAGCGCGATACGATCTTCAGGAAGGTCCGAGCCATAAAGAACAAGTGCTGCACGACATCTCTTCCATATCTCACGCGCATCCACGATACTGTTGGCCAGTATGAACAGATTGTCACTCCAAACCAAGAAGGGAATAAACTTGGAATTGCACATAAGAGTGACGTAAGAGTGACCCCTTCGGGGGTGGACAGAACCCCGAACAGTGACACGTCGATGAGTGAGTTGTCCGTGTTCGGCTCTCGAGAGGGCGCCGTGGCCGTTATTTTCCAGGCTTGCGCCCGCCAGGTTTGGGCCTCAGGTCGTTTTCACTAAACAACGTTTTACTACAGGGGGGTCTGTCCATCCCCGAACCCTGGGTGGGAGTGACCTTTGGTGCGCGGCTTTTTGGGGGCCGCGGGGGGGGGGGGGGGGCCAAACACGGGCGCGCAGGACGCCACTGCCGCCTCGCGTTCGGCGATCGGGGACTCCAGTTGGCCCGCACCAAAGGTCACTCTGGCGAAGGGTAACTCTTACGTGTAGTCGAGACAGGCGCGTTCCACTACTCGCAAAGTGGCCAGTCGCAAAAGGGGCTGGAGCCGCCACAGGGGATCTACGATATATTTGCACAAAGGCAGACGTATGGTTTCCTGACGTTTGCGGGTAGGCACTTTGCGAGTAGTGGAGCGCGCTCGGCGAGCCGCGGAACGCCCACAGCAACAAGGCGTCTCCGAACAGGCCGGCCCGAATGGAAACCATAGGTTGAGTTATTGGCGGATCGCACAAAAGGGCATGGGGGAGGAAGGAAGCTGCTTCGTAGAAGGCGCGGGCCTTACATCTACAGACAAGGCCGGCGCCTTCTAAAGAGAAAACCTATTCTAAGAAGCCTTCCTCACTCGCCCATACACTCTCCTGCGCGTGGCGGAATTAGAAGCATCGCTCAACCGATCCGAATCCCCAATGGAATGGCATTGACACCACTGGCCAATTTCCTCCCACCCCTCGCTGCCTATCCCCAACCTTGCCGTCGCTCGGACGTCCATTTCCCGTGCATTTTTGCGGTATCGTGCGTGTTTTGTTTTTCCTCGATGGTCCAGGATGGTCCTTGTGGTTTCTCGCCGAGAAAAAGTGCACACGTCCAAGCGATGCCAAGCAGCTGCCTGGGTGGGCTGGCAGCGCTGAGATACCGTGGCCCGTTTGGGACACGAAAGTGTCACGAAGCTGGCATTCGGCGCACGAGCTCGAGGAGACCCCCAGAGAAGACAGGGAGGAAGAGAGAGAGAGAGGGAGAGGGAGAGAAAATGTTCAAAAAGAGAGGGCGAGAGAGAGAGACAGCGAGAGAAAGAGAGAGAGAGAGAAAGAGGGAGAGGGCGCACACAAAAAGATGGGGGGGGCGCGGGTGGACTAGCCACTGCTGCGCACGCCGACGCAGCCAGCCACTCTGAGGACTCTGATCTTCGCGCCGCGAACACACTCACCATTTTTGTGGCAATGTTCGGCCTCTGGGAGCCCTTCCCAGCCTGGTACTGGGGAGACCAAAAAGGTACTCCCCGGACCTCTCCCAGGATGCGTTCTGGCCAAGATTTCGTGGCGAATCCAGCGGTGGCGACGAGGAACACGGGCGAAGGGGTAGAGGTATGGGTACCTTTTCCTCCTTTGAGGCACTGGACCCGTCCAAAATCTACTCGGGATGGGAGTCGGTCCCCAGGAACGGGCCGAGGCCTCTGGAGAGAACCACGTGGCGACACACAGATCTCGGCGTCGGACGCCTGGGCAGCCCCCTGCCTTCAGACCCCCAAAGATACCTCCCGAACACGTTCGGCGGCTCGGCCCACGAGGCCGACGAGTGGGCTGGATCCCGGGATGTCGACGGGGATCGAGCCCAAGCGGCGGCCGAGTGGGCTCAGACGCACAGTGTGCTGAGGAGGGAGCATCGGGTGGTCCTGCATCTGTTATCCACTTCCACCTCGTCCTTGTCGTCCTTCTGCTCATCCTCCTACTCCTGCTCCTCCTCCTCAGGAAAAGAAAAAAACGAAGAGGATAACTACGTTCAAGGTTCTAAAACTGTTCGGCGTCCGCATCCTAGGATTACATGAAGGACTACATGAAGGATTACGGATGTCGCGGGCATCCTGGTCTCCAACCGAAGGACCATAGAGGGACGGCTGAGTCACGACCACTACCTGCAGAAAAAATGAACGCAGCCAGCGGCGGCAGCAAATAAGGAGACGGAGCAGGAGGTGCATGATCAGAGGCAGGAATAGGATCGCGATATAGAGGACCAGGAACAGGAGGAAAAAGAGGATAAGTAGAAGTGCGAGGGGGCAAGCGGGGAGAGGAGGACGAGCAGCTGTAGCAAAAGCGAGTAGCTTGCGTGTTCGGCGCTGGGCGGCACAGCATAGGATGATGAGGGAGATTGGTAAAGAGGATACGGACGAGGATGGTGACGAAGATGAAGAGCAAAATGAGGTCATAGGTCATTCATCCAGATGTCATATTGGGGTGCACCTGCGGTCACTGTGAGTTGATGCGTGCGGTCGTCTCGATGGCAACGTAGGGTTATATTGAGGTGATGCTCAATCATCGTAAGGACGTCCTGAGGTCTACTGTAATTCATGGTGTCGTCATCTATGAAGTGTGCGACCGTGACCGTAAAAATGCTCGTCGTGGAATCAAGTTGATGTGCGAATCCGGTCATCACTGGGAACTTATAAATAAGCGCCATGCTGAGGCTTTGCTTGGGGTCGTGTTGAAGTCCTCGGGGGGTCATAGTAAGGTCGCAGTTGGGTCCTAGTGGGATCATCGCGAAGTCACCTTGAGGTAAATTTGAACTCATCCATCGTGGTGTCGCACTGTGGTCGTCTTGGGGCCACTGCGCGGTCATATGTACAGTGCGGACGCGACCACAACAGACCATCGCAAGAAACCCAGCCCTGAAAACCCGCGCGGGGGATGCACACAAGGGGAAAACGCAGAGCACCCTGAACGCATCAGTTTCTTCAACGGCCGCGGGAAGTCACCGCGCAGCGCGGGGGGCGTAGAAATTCAGGGTCCCTGACGAAAGGCATCTGGTTTCTTGATGCGCGCTCCCACTGTAAGCCTGCTTCAAGTCATGCCGCGGTGATATTGAGGTCACCTTGAGGTCGCGTTCAGGCCGCGGTTGGTTTCGAGTCCGTCCTGACGTCAGACTGGAAGCATTCCAACGTGGGCACAAAGGGGATCGGCAATTGATTGCACCAGCTGGGGTCAGTGGGGAAACTTGGAGTTGCGGATGCAAAAGAGGAAGGATGGACCGGCAATCGTTCGAACTACTCGGGGACATTTGGGTCAGTTGGGCCAGTTGGGGCCGGTTGGGGCCGGTTGGGGTCAGTTGGGCCAACTGGGCCAACTGGGCCAACTGGACCAACTGACCCAAAGGGCCCCGACCCCAAACCTCCCCCCTCACCCTCCCCGGGTTCCCGGGAGCAGGCGACTCGGGTGCACTACATCGGCCCGAGTCGGAACACTTATGACGCCTGGTCGCCAGCCGCTCTGACGCCTTCGTTCGGCGGGC